GGCAAAAAACAAAGGGACCCCCACCCTAAAATCCCATCTATAGGGAAAAAAGATGGGATCCCACCCTAAAATCCCATCTATAGGGAGAAAAGATGGGACCCCAACCCTAATACCCCATGTATAGGGAAAAAACAGAGGGATCCCCATCCTAAAATCCCATCCATTGGGAAAAAAGAGAGGGACCCCCACCCTAAAATCCCATATAGAGGGAAAAAATATGGGACCCCACCCTAAAATCCCATCTATAGGGAGAAAAGATGGGACCCCAATCCTAATACCCCATGTATAGGGAAAAAACAGAGGGACCCCCACCCTAAAATCCCATCCATTGGGAAAAAAGTGAGGGATCCCCACCCTAAAATCCCATCTATAGGGAAAAAAGATGGGACCCCACCCTAAAATCCCATATATAGGAAAAAAGATGGGACCCCAATCCTAAAATCCCATCCATAGGGAAAAAAAGAGGGGGAATCCCCACCCTAAAATCCCATATACAAGGAGAAAAAGAGGGATCCCCACCCTAAAATCCCATCCACAGGGAAAAAAGAGAGACCCTACCCTAAAATCCCATCTATAGGAAGAAAAAAGATGGGACCCCCCCCCTAAAATCCCATCTATAGGGAGAAAAGAAGGTACCCCCATCTCCAAAGTCCCATATATAGGTGAAAACAGAGGGACCCCCACCCAAAAATCCCATCTATAGGGAAAAAAGAGGGGAACCCCCACCCTAAAATCCTATATAAGGACAAACCACAGGGACCCCCCCACCCTAAAATCCTACATATGGACAAACTAACAGAACCCCCCACCCCCAAATCCTAAATATAACAACAAATAGTGCTTCCTCCTCCTCCTCCCCCCCCAAAATCATCCCCAACCCCAACACCTCCCCCCCAGAACGTCCTCACCTTCACCTGCAGGCGCCACAGGACCCCCTGTAGGACCCCCATGTATTTTTTTTTGGGGGGGGGGTCCATCGATGCCATCTGCACCCCACAGGGAAGACAGTAGACTGTATAGTTATCTCCGAGCCGGGCGTGTGAGCCCCCAACTATACAATCTACTACCTCACCCCGGGGGGCACCGGGTCTGGTTGTATATTTTGGGGGGGGGAGGGGACATAACAGATAGGGGGGGGTTCGGGGAGGGGGACATTTGGGGACACTCACCTGCCTGG